CCTTAACTATATGCAGTTTGGGCAGCAGGTTACAGTCAGCCAGGGTCATTTCGTCCCCATCCAAGAACTTGCGGTTAGAAACTTTGACGTCTTCTATGCTGTTGTGATCGATCTCATCGGGCAGCGGCGAGCGAAGATACTCGTCCAGCTTCTGCAGGGTCTTTAGCAGCCCGCGCTCTAGAGCTGCAAAGAAGGAGACGGTTACTGCAGAGCAACCACACGGTGGCAGCATTTCATCAAGAGACGCACACAGAGAGCACTTTATAAATATGAGAGCGCTTCAAATGCCGTCTGAAAAGGAATGCACAGGTGATAGTTTGTCCTCATATTCCACCCATCTACAGATACTAAACAATTCATTCCACAAATAGAAAGTATGTCATGAACACATACTAGGTGTAGTGGTTTGACAGTAGATCTAACCCGTAACTTATCACTGAACCATGACATTCACTCTCTAACTCTGTTGACATAGCCTTGGCTTTCACATCCAGCTCACTGTGGTTTGATATTTTCTCAGAGTGGAGATCAGCCAACTAAAACATGATATGATAAGTCTGTTTTTTTACATTCCAAAACATCATACTCCCACATTTCCCCCCAAAGAAGGACACAACGGGATTTCAAAGACAAAGGACTACTTTTTCTTCACATTATTCCAATAATATATTAAATTTCTGATAATCGTTTACAGACTGTGGGCTACATAAATCTGGAACGAGGGTGAGGTTATGAGCACCAGTTCGCTCTCTGGATCATGGCTGTGCACTTTTCTAGAAAGTTCCAGGTGAGACTGGGAGCGAAAGGACAGGAGGAGGCAGCAGAACAAAAGCGCCGTGTGTTCCCGAGTCAGACTTTAATCCACCAATCCAGGCAGGGCTACCAGTGTCACCTAGCAACAAGTAAAGCACACTACACACTGAAGTCCTGCACCTTCCCGCGTGCATGCGTGTAAAGACTTACCCTCGTTCCCATCTGGTTTGGAGTTCTTGATGTATGCAGAAAACTTGGCAAAGATGTCCATGCCAGCGGTGTTTGACTCTGGATGTCTTGCACCAAGCTTGATGTACCTGCAAAATAAACACATATGAAGCCACGTATGCTGCAGTTATTGTACGTTTTCTCTGTGCAGACATCATTAGAAAATAAAAATGAGCAAAGAACAGCTCAATAAAAGCCCCATTTACTACTGACAGACACCAACACTATAAGTGGAAGGCTCATAAAATGTGTTGACAATAAAATAAATACTGCAAAACTTTATTTAATGGTCATTTACGATCAACAAAAGGCTCTGTAATTAACTGCTCACGGTGCAGTTAATCATAAGTGGGGGGTGTTTAGTGTCTAGGTGTGGCAAGCAGTCATCGCAGGAGTTTGAAACAGAAAGCACTCACTTGGGCGGGGAGAGAACATCCTCGAGAAACTCCTCGATCTTGTTGACGTCAGTTTTGACCTCGCTGTTGAAGGTGATGAAGGGCGGGTGCGTGCCGGGGGCCAGGTTCTGGAGGTCTGCGGGCTTCCTGGGACACGGAGTGGAGAAATGTCAGTGGGCAGATGAAGGCAGAACCAATCCAGGAGCTCGTTTCTAACATGTAAAATCTGCTTTTATCCCCACAAAAGGAACCAGAGATTTAACTTAATACTGTGTGTATAATATACTGTGTAATTACTTTAAGTTCAAATATTTAAAGGGCTGCGTTTCTGCTGCGTGTTTTTTCAGACCTCTACAACCCCCCCCCTCCTCCTCCAGCTGGAGCCGCTGTGCTGCGAGTCTGTTTGTGTCCCCTTTTTTCTCTGTGGCCTTCAAACCAGCACATTTGGTGCCAGATGTCTCTGGCAGGCAGATGAGGCTGACACACAAACAGCAATGAGCATGTGCTGAATGAGTCTTCAGTATAAAAACAACCAAACAGCAGTGACTCAGCCGCTGATGGGTTTGTGGGGACAGTCTAAACAGTGACTGATATTAATAATACCATCAACATCATTCATCCAACAGTGCAGGTTTTTTGAGTCCATGCCCATAATGATGGCGAGCTTTGGGACAAACCATTTAAGGGCAGAAAAAAGGGGAAATTACTTCAACTCTTTGGCATGTCAGGGGGAAGTGACATGCCCACCGATTATCACCAAGGAGCGAGGAAGAAACTGCCTCGAATCACAGAAAAACAGGAGAGCCTTGAAAGACGACAAGAAGAAATAAAACACCATATTTGACTTGGTTGCCATTTTACTGTTGACCCAAAATTACACCAGAATCTGCAGTACAACTAGTCCCACTTTCAGTTAAAATAAATAAAATAATCAGGTTCTTTGCAGGTTTTAAAATGAGAAAAAAAAGAAAAAAACCCAAACACGTCATGCTGTGTTGTTACCTATTCAACAAAAACCAGACGAACCGCAGAAAGTGTGTGAGACCAAGTACACCCCACCATTCAGTAACTTACAGAATCAGTCTTCTGCTTTGTTCAGATGCAGCTTCGCAAACCCAAACCGAGAGGAGGCTTTCTCCCAACTAGGGCTGGGCATATCATACTGTTCACGGTAATATCAGTATAATGTAAGGCAACGATAAGAAAACGAAATATCGCGATAGAATATGAGTAAAACACGCACGCCTTCATTTTCATACGCACACGGCGGAAAAAGCATGGCGGCGACGGAGAATGAGAAGAGCGAAAGCGGATCGTTAAATGAAATAGAAGAACCAGAACTGGTTTGTAAAAATGCTGCAACTTCAGTGGTGTGGAACTGGTTTAGCTTTCGTCCGTAAGATACACAACAAAGCACTATATTTGGTAGAGCGTGCTAGCAGGCCGACGTTATTACCGAACCGTTTTTATGTACACGGCGCTCAAAAATGTTTTAGTACGACTTTGCTAAGCTACGAAGCCGCACCGCTTGATGGATTGTCGGAGCATTACGGCTACCGTAGGCAGGAGCCTGGCGGAGTGATACGTACTGTGCTTCAACATAATATTACCGTGTTGTGTGTGTGTGTGTATAACCTCTTTTTAAGTGTTGTGGATATTAAACATGGTTATTCTAGGATATGTCGGCCAGTTTCCAGGGAAATGCCTTTTGGTTAAACTGTCAGCGAGGAATTTGCACTGTTACATTTGTATATTACTGTAATGCACATGAAAAACAGCTGCTTGTTTAAGTGAAAATACATTGTTAGTGCAAAAAACCCACCAAAGTTGTAAAGTATTTTGTTTTGCTTCAGCTAAATCGTTATTGCAAATTTTCAAATATATATCGTGATAAATATTTTTGGCCAAATTGCCCTGCCCTACTCCCAACAACCCTTCCAAAGAGGCCACACTTTGCAGTTTTTCCTAACTTTGAACACATGCAGACTGACACCAAGTCAGGAAGTCCAAGCTGCAGCTCGTAGGATTTTTTTTTTTGCAGTTTCCCTGCAGTTCTTGCACTTTTCCACTCAGCACTGCACGGTCTGACGGGGTCAGTATGCTGGGACACCCACTGCTGTGAGGATTCACAGCTGTGTTGAATGTTTGCAACTTGTGAATAATCTCTCTCACTGCAGAATGATGGGCACATTCTTTCACAGACTGATGAGCAGCAGCAGTTGCTTCTCTGAAATTACTGATGTTGTTCCTTCTTGACAGCAAACTGACAGAATTCAGCTTTTATAGCAGTGCTCACACTTCCTGATGATCAGTTACTCAAATGCATTTGATTAACTGGCTGCTACCTACCCAACAGAAACAAAAAGAAACAATAATAATATTTTGCTTTTTGCTTCTGCAGCAAATATGGCCTTTGGCCAGCTACAGCAAAAGCGGTGGAGGTTATTCGCTGCCTCACACAGAGACTTTCTACCCGGGAGGAAAATATATGCAAAATACCCAAACCCATGCACTCATCCTGAACGTCAAGGCATGTGTGAAAATTAAGCCACTAGTCAAATGGCTCTCACTTTCCTCCTGTGAGCGGTGTTAAAAAAAAAACAAAAAAACAAAACAAAAAAACAAAACAAAACAAAGGAAACACTTTTATCAAATGCATCTCTGCTGTTGCTACAAAGCATGAACGACACTGTGGAAACCAGTGTCGGTAATCTTAAAAATCTAAAGACACATCAAGAGAGACTGCAGAAACCAGGCGTCCATCTGACTGGTGGATACAGCTCAAAATAATCAGGCCTAACAAGTGGATAAACATTTAGGGAGTATTTAGATGAATCATACAGACGGAAACGTAGTCTGTTTGGAGCTCCTAGTACTGGAATCCACATGTGAAAGTGTGTTGGCTTGCAGCTGGCAAGGAAAAACAAAATTGCAGAGGATCACTGATCCCAGTGGTTTAAAAAAAAGAAAAAAAAAAGAAAAAAGAAAAAGACAGTTGCCCAACAAATTCTAGGCAGGAAGTGAGCAGAGTCAAGAATCTTAAAATAACCTCTCCAGAGTCTGAATGTTTAGTTTCCCCCAATTTTCCCTGGCCTGGGAAGGGGTCATGGGAAAACCAAATAAGCAGTGGGGAAGCAGCGAGTGTGTCAGAGGTGGGGCTGGATCAAAGCAGTACACTGGGAAACGCCCAGGAACGCTCCAGTAGGCTAACAAAGAAGGAAAAGTGATGGAACAGATGATTATAGAGGAAAGAGAACAGCGCTCACCTCTTTAGATCCACAGTAGTGACGTTGAAGACGACTCCTTTCAGCCACAGAATCATGAAGAGTCTCTGGGAGAAGGGGCAGTTCCCAATGCTCTCGCCATCACTTCCTGCCTTCAACAAACACACAGACAGAGGAGCAGGATTAACCACCAGAAACATATTCCAGGTACCAGTCCTGAGAACTGAGTACACAAAAGATGGGTGGAAGCATCTCACATTTAATTACCACTGGCATACAACCCAATCTAGCAGACAAAGATCTAAAAGCACCTATGACTGGTTCCCATGGCCGACAGCACTTTGCTTACTGTTTAGTCCAAAACACAAACAGGTCCTGATAACCTTTTCAGCTGTACTGCACAACCTGGGCGCTTTGCTGCGCTCACCCACAGGGGCCCGTTTCACACAATGACTCTTTCAGACTCGAGCAGGAGGGAAAGACTGACGAACAAACTCACATGCCTTTGAAGGCGTCTGCACACTTCCCCCTTCCATTTGGAGAACCACAGCCTAAGAGCAACAGGAAACTTGTAGAGTGATTAAGGCTCAGATAGCCTTGTGCTTCCTTCTTAGCCAGACTGCACAAAAACAAGGCTGAGTTGTGGGGGGAACGAGATCAATGGAAGTGGTGTGCGCTCCAAATGAATGACGCACACTCATCGTTTAGCGATGGGAAGGAGCGCGGTAAAGACGCTATTTGGATATTACATTTAATCTGTTTCAAACAAACAAATCAATAGCAGCTCAGCTTAAGTACTGTAAAACTAGGGAATGATGCAGCAAATTAATCTGCGCACAAACACACACAGCAGGCTGTTTTATTAGTTTTACACCACATGGGCACAAATATCATCTGGACTCCACATCAGAAGGCAGAGTAAGCGTTTCATCTGATTAAGAGTTTTACACGGTGTCATAAAGAAATCCTGCTTCCTTTCTTTTCTTAATTGTCATTTTTAAAAACATGCATTGAGAAAAATGGCATTTTCTTTGTACTTCCTCTTCAATATTCACAAAAGCAGACACACAACAACCTCCATCATCCAGCTCGTGCGCTCTGTGGTGACCAACACTGCCAAGCTATTCTATTAACAAGGACATACATGGAGGTCATTGAAACCCTGGCACTCTGGAATTCACTCATTCATTCAGTGGATGACTGTAGCAGAGCCTCTGAATAAGCTGAATGTCATTTATTTTTTGTTGTCTGCCTCGTGTGACGTCACTCGCTGCTCATTCCCTTCAGCTTTGCTTCTTTCGTCCTTTTCAGCCTTTTCCCACCTGCACAGAGGCGTCTGCTATACCAAGTAATGCAAAAGGTATACAAATCACACAAATACCACCGATTTGCAAAAGGGTGCTGAATGAACATAAGATTCAAATGATTTTTAACTTTACAAATATATGTTTGTTAATGTCAGATCTGCAGGTCCTCAATAGGGCACTTTGTTGTGCAGGGTTCAGTCAGTGCAGCAGCTCCTTGCTGCTGCGGACAGGCTGGCTGCTGTTGTCCTCTGTGTGACGCCCAGTGAGACGGCTCTGTTTGATCTGCCTGCTGGCTCCCATTGTACTGCCACTGTCCTCTCCCTCTCTGAATTCAATTTCTGAAAAGCTTGGATTAGATCACTGCCATTGTTTAGCAAATGAAAGTCCCCTTTTCACATTACACGATTCAATTCCAAAATAAGGCTTTAGCCCTGAGGTGCTGGACTAGCATTAGCTGAACCTAAGGGGATCAGAAAGACATCAATGGGATGATTACTCCATTTTCCCCGCAGCGCTACACCTACAGAGAAGCATTCAGGTCTGCATCAAGGGTGGTAACGCAGCACAGCAACTGTTCCCATGGCAATGGCCAGAACGTATGACATGGAAAGCAATGCATGCATTGTGAAAAGGATTACAATGCACAGGTGAGCGGTCTGCAGCCGGCTCTCTTTTGGTGGTGATAAAATGCAAATACACTGTTGAATGTCATTTGTAAAGATGTTACCACTCAGTGAACCGCTTTCAAGGAGAGTTCATCAGAGTTCTGCAGGTCGAGTGGTGAGACAGGAGGCCTCAGCAGCTGAGAAAGACATTTCATTTTTTCTTCCTGTCTCAGTGCGATTTCAGGTTCTGGGCATTCAGACTCCTACTCTCTGGAATCTGCAGCAGAGCAGGCTGCAGACAGAGAGAGAGAGATTACAGGAAACCAGAAGGAAACTGGGGATCATGTGGTGCTAACCAACAGGAGGGAGAACAAGTGGTAACGGATGCTTAAAGCGTGACGAAGAGGAAAGATAGTAAGCTTCAGTGTGCTTTTTGGCCCTCTTGTTTCTTCCTCCTCCTTCTCTTCCCTCTTTATCCCTTACCCCTTATCCTGGGCCCCTCTGTGGAGTCAGAGGGGGGTTGGGCATTCGGAGAGGAGGGAGAAACTATTCCAGAAATGTCCTGTTCCTCCCGCCGAAGATGGCGCTTTGTTTAGTTTAAGCAGTGATGCTGGCGGAGCTGCATTTCCGACGTGCTCCTCGGGAGCAGCTGCTAGGCACTAAATGAACTGTAAGAACGGCTTTTGATTGACATTTTAAGCACTTCTGCTTTTAAAATAGCCGAAATAAATCCAGAAGGATCAGAAAACCTTAGATTTCGTTTTTTTCTTCTAATATGGAGCCTATGGGCCCAACTGACACTTTCCAGAAAGCCTATATTAAGGTGTGACATTCAGGAAAGGGCTTCAACACAAAGCACTTTCTGTTTGTAGATCGCCAGGTACGTCATCAGCTAGCAGGCAAAAAAAAGGCAATAAAACTCTGGAGTTAGGGGAGAAAATCTTTAGAAGGCAAAGCCCACGAGTTTGGAAAGAAGCACATTTTACAAGTAGTACACAGATTCACACAAATCGGCTGCAATAACGTTTGGCCCACAGCAGCAACAGCTGACTGCTGCCAACAGGCTCTCCAGCTTTATTTTAGGCTCAGTGGATGGTAAGTCAGCAGATGCTTGTTTATTTAATCCCAGCGCACACAGCTGCTTGATGAAGGGTGTGAGTCATGTTTAATCTTGGATGTTATCTAGGAGTTCAGGACAGTGTGACGCATCGATGAGTACATTGAGGGTGGGTCTGGGTGGGCAAACGCACGCAGCCTTCTCCAGCCAGTGAGCTCATACCTCTTATCACTTCCCCTTTCTTCGTGGAGCCAGTGATGTAACAACTAAGCCAAAACACAAGTCAAAGTAACAGAAGACGACAACACACAAAGTGGTCCTTTCTACCAGCCACTCCCACAAGCTCAAGTTTTCCTTGCCAGCAAAAGAATTCCAAGACACAGCAAGTTGACCAAACCGATATTTAGAACAAAACACACAGAGGAATGCAGGCAGCGGTACCCAGGACAACCGGCACAAACTGGCTCCAAGTGTGTGACATGGAGGGAGTGCACACTAGTTTCCGTTAAATCAAAGAGAGCAAGTCATCTTTTATAGCCTGGAAAGCCCAGGTGAGCTGCATCAGCTGATGACCTTCTCATGTCAGCCAATTACCAGCAGGAGTAGGCCAGGACTTCCTTGGGGACACTGGAAGGGCCATGACAAGCAGCCAACTCGTCTTGAACGCGCTGAGGTCACACCGCTCATCGCTTCCTCATCGACGTTTTTTCCTATTGGATGGTTCAACATTACTTCCCTTGCCAGGCGTCAGCGGTGATATTAGCAAAGTGTCATGTTTCTTTATGTATTATTGTACAACGCCAGCTCACGGTTGGCTCTCAGATGCTACACAGCCACCCCTCACTAGCCTGGGCTGCACCCCAGGAGATCGAATCAAGTAAGGTGGAAATTACTTTTCAACATCCTTCATTTCCAACATCAAAGCACTGCAGAACCACGCTGGGTTGTGAGGCTTTCATCCACCTTAAAGTGGGGATAACACTCAGTTGAGACCTCTTTGAAATCTACATGAAGTGCATAGCTGGTGCTGTGCAGTGTAATATCCTCCTCTTGTAAATATGGTTTTTAATCCCAACAATCTCCATACCCTCATGATCACAAATAAATAAAATTAAAAGTTAGAAGGCATTTAAAGATCTCCACGAAGCCTCTCACTCTAGCAGACCTGCACACCTGAAACTATAACATGAAGTCGAGCTTGTGTGCAGTTTTATCCACAAAAATCCACTCAAACGTTTAAAATGCATTTTGTTTACTTAAGAATCTGATTAATGGTTTCAAATCATCTAAAGTCACACGCAGTATCCGTAGAGACAACGTTCAACTTCATCCATCCATCGCCTGTTGTGTGTCATATTTAAATCAGTAAGCCAGTCAGGAACCTGGTAATGTCGTCCAACAGATCTCAGGAGTGATGACAAGGATTCCTGAACGTTTCATTGCCATCTGAGCTCTTAAAGATGGCTGTACTTTTAACTGGGACGCAAGGTATCCTTTTATCCACTGCAGTCCAATAACATTTTACAACCTGGCACATAAAAGAGTTGCTCAATGTGCAACAACACCTTTCTCTCACTCACAGAAAGGCTCTCATCATTATCTAAGACAGACATTCCTTTTCTAGAGCAGCGATGTGATATCACAGCTTCTACAGTGAGCAGCTGAGGACAATGATCCTGTTCATGCTGGGCCCAGTCCTCCCAATCTCTGCTCACCGCCTAATTTTAGTAACGTGGCGGCCCTCGCCTTCCCCTCCCCGCACTTCACATTCTAAATAGGTTGGGCTGCTCAGCGAGTTCAAGCCACACTTGACCGAATAAGGAACTGACGAAGTAGCGAGCTCTGGAGCTCGGCTGCTTCGACACACTGCAGGAATGTCCGTTTGAGGGTGGGCAGCCCTGCTAGCGTCATGGCAGCGCCTCTCCCTGTTTGCTGGACACACACACACACACACTCACACACACATATAGGCCAAGGTAGGATTAAAAGAAGCTGGACCCAAAAACTGCCCGCTGTTTGTCAGCTTACGCTGGCATTGAATGATTAAGCTAAACAGAGTCAGGCTGGAATTCATGAGACACACTGTCAGACGTGGCAGAGTGAGGGTCAGCTAAAGAAGCACAGCCAATTTTAGTATTTAACAATGTAAAATAACTGAAAATACAGAAGTTCTGCTGTAGCAT